TCAAGTGCTAAAACAGTTTAAGACCAATAAGGATACAAGAAATACTTTTAATTTTACCCAGTAACCCTTTAACGGGTGTGACCATATATGATCACTTAAATACATGTATATATATATGAGGTACTTAAAATGTGTGCCCGGTAAAGGGTTAATGACAGAAGCACGTGGTCTATTATTGATCATTTTGTTAATGTTTTCTTTGCAAATGGACTTAGCGATCTCTTAGCAATGGGAGTCAAACAGTAGTTGAACTTGACAAACTATTTTCCCCATTTCTTGACACTGAAATAAAAGAAAAGAAAAGAAAAGAAAAGAAAAGAAAAAAAAAAAAAAAAAAAAAAAAAAAAAAACAGATAAAGAAATAAAGAAATAAAAAAGATGATCATCTTGTCATCATTATCCTTACTATTTTGTTAGTAGTATTACTGTTATTGCTGCAATGATTTTTTTTTCCCTTCAATATTTCAAGGAGTAAGTAGGTTGGGTAAAGTAGGTTTACTAATTGGCTCTTTAGGTAGAAGAATTTAGTCTTAAACAGAATATAACATCAAAATAAATATTAATAACAATAACAATAATAATCATAATCATAATAATGATAATACCAATAATAGTAATTAAAATGATAATGATAATAATAATTATAAGTGATAATTATAATAACAATAATAATAGTAATAATAATGATGATGATGATAATAATAATAATAATAGTGATAATAATAGTAATATTAATATTGACAACAAAATCACACATATCCATGCATTCATTTTGCCAATGGGCAAAGTAGTTGACTTCCAGCGAGTGAACAAAAGCATAAACACAAGACAAATACATCATGCTCGAACACCAAAGGAGAATAGAGTAAGCCCTATGATAATGAAAATAAAATTTGGAAATAACATCCTAAAGTCCTATTTTTATTTGGTTGCAATCCATCTAAATCCACTTTAAATTTTCGAATGATTTGAGACAGAAGACCTGAAACATATTTGCCAGAGCACCAACAGGCCCTGACAAACTTATGGGTTCTTTTATGTCAGTGGTTCCCAAACTGTGGGCCTTAGCCTCTGGGGTGCCATATAGCAGAATGCAGGGGGCCATAATCTGAGGATATGATGTGTGTATAACACCATATACTAGTCATATGCTAGTGTGGCATTAGCTGACTTTTCAATCAGCGGAATTTTGTTTTATCTTGTTTTGTGTGTTGAAGCAACTTCCTGCAATATATTCCTTTTATCATTACAGTATACACTGAGTATGGAAATTCCTTGTACACTATATTATTAATTTTTTTTGGTAACATTTCAAAAAAGTCTTCATTACTACTTCATAAAAGGACAAAAAACTTGCATGAAATCAATAAAATTACAGGTGGGCCATGGACAAGTATCCTCTATGAAAAGTGGGTAATGACCAGAAAAAGTTTGGGAACCACTGTTTTATATCATCCAATTGATTAGTGTCCGAATACTGCAGTCTTATCTATTTGAGTTCTTCAATCATCCTAGCAACTAGCTTGAAAAAAGAAAGAAAGAAAGTATCCATAACTATGCTTTATTTGTTAAAAAGGGTTTGACAAAGTTTCTATGAACCCAAACAAGAAAAATAAAACAAAATTTCAACATGTTCAAATGACAGGAGATGAAGGGAAAGAAATTTGAAAAACGGAAGTCTAACAATTACATTTAAAAGATATAAACATAACCATATCAATGATAGCTGTTATGATGATGCATACTTTTAAGAATTTGAAAAAATCTTAGTTTTTAACATGATGCAAATACTTAATAAATGTATATATATCAACATGCAATATGAAAGGATATAGAGAAGATACGATAACAAACTCACAAAGCATGCAATGTCAAAGGATATAAAGCACATACAATAACAAATTCACAAAGTTGCAAGAATATAATCATTGATGGTATCAAACTGAACTTAATTGTAAATCTACCTACATATTAAATGCCATTCACAAGTTCAGCTACATTCACCAAAGCACCAGGTTCCAAAAATACTTGCTATTAGCACTACAAATAAACTACTACTTAATGATACATAATAACTATATAAACAAACAAACATATATATATATATATATATATATATATTATATATATATATATATATATATATATACACAGACGCACATATATTATGTATACACACAAACACACATATGTGTATACATATATACATACATACATACATATATATATATATATATATATATATATATATATATATATATATATAATATATATATATGTATATGTATATGTTATATGTAAATGTATATACATATATATATATATATATATATATATATATATATATATATATATATATATATATGTATATACATATACATATATATACATATATATATATGTATATATATATATATATATATATATATATATGTAAATATAGATATATAATTTTCTTTTCTGTACTAGTGAGGGTGTGCCTCTTACTCTCAAATACTCTTTAGTCATAAAGTTTAACTATATTTATACGGAAAACTGACTGATTCCTTTGTCACTGTTCTTTCTTTTCTTTTTCTTTTTTTGAATCTTTGCACATACATTAATTTTCTTTATTACGTGAAAAAGTGTTAAAAGACAAGTTGAAATCGGAAAAATCAAGACCGTTATAACCATATTACTACACTTTTCAGAAGTTCACACATTTTCCGTTTTATGTTATCCTACAGCACAGCATACTCGCCAGAAAGGTATGATGGCCTATCAGTCATGCAAGCCAAATGCAATCAACTGTGGCATGCTAATAAAAGTATTGTACCGTTTCTAAGCTGTATGTCTTCCTATCCACACGATTCCCGATATCCGCAGGTTAACCAACTGCTCTAACTCCTTCATTTGTTGTATATCTACGAATTACTTTATTTTACTGACATCCGGAAATCTTTATTATTCGTTATTTGTGTAAAAACTGTATCTTGAAGGGGTTCTATTCAACGGCAAAGATGTTTTCTAACAAGTATGGGTTACAAAATAGGTTGGCAGCCCTACAATGATGCAACACGCGCCTCATTGATAATATATACAGGTGGATAATTATTACAGGTTAATTTTCTATAAATTCACATTCACGAAGCAAATGATAAACTTTGCTGTCAGCCATTCCTAATAACAATAATATATATATAATTTATTTTATATCATGTTATGTATTTTACTAATCAAATAAAGTTTTTGGTAATAAAAGTTTCAATGCATTTACCCTAAATTATTAAGTCAAATAAGAAATCATTCCCATTACAAAAACAGGAAATGGTAATTATAACAAAAATGATAATTAATTAGGTCTGCTTCTAATTATGACTAATCTTAATACTAATTAAAATTGCAAAGTCTTCGCGTACTAACCTTTCGAACAAGCACACGCAAACGTCATTCAGTAGTCTCGACCCTCCGGAAACGGATAGTCTTGCCGCCTCTCTCTCTCTTTCCTCAAAGCCTGTAATAAAACGTTTTCGTGTCTCCCTCTCTATGCGTCCTTCCTCTGTAGTGTAGCAGAGGCGACTGAAAGCAAGCAGCATCCCCGCGCCGGCAGCCGTTTGGAGGGACCCCGGACCTGTACGTTACCTGTTCAGTACAGAATCGAGACGAAAACCTGTACGCGGGGGTGTTTTTGAGGGGGGGGGGGGGTAACGGTTAGGGGGAAGGGGGTTTTGAATCTGAATATTAACATTAGATCTTTTATCGCTTATTAACATTAGATCTTTTATCGCTCTTACATTAATGAGAACAGTGTTTTCGAACTGTACTAGAGGAAAGTCGTATAATAGCTGATATATTTTGTGCGAGGTTTGATCCTCTGGGAAGGTAAGACACGGGGCTAGCTGATATGGACGAAAATTAACGTTTTAACATTTACTGACTTGTCAATGTTGTGGTATAATGTTTTCAACCAAAATTGTTACATTGTTATTCCCATAAACATTAACCCAAACAAAATTACTCAATCATAGTATCCGGTAAAATATTGAAATTAAAATACCCAAAACGTTTCGTTACGTTTATTGCAGCCATCACTCGGCCTGCGCGCGTCCTCGGCATATGTGCAAACGTGTGTGTGCGTGTGTGTGTGTGTGTGTGTGTGTGTGTGTGTGTGTGTGTGTGTGTGTGTGTGTGTGTGTGTGTGTGTGTGTGTGTGTGTGTGTGTGTGTGTGTGTGTGTGTGTGTGTGTGGTGTGTGTGTGCGTGGTGTGTGTGTGTGTGTGTGTGTGTGTGTGTGGTGTGTGTGTGTGTGTGTGTGTGTGTGTGTGTGTGTGTGTGTTGTGTGTTGTGTGTGGTGTGTGTGTGTGTGTGTGTGTGTGTGTGTGTGTGTGTGTGTGTGTGTGTTGTGTGTGTGTGGTGTGTGTGTGCGTGTGTATGTGTGTGTGTGTGTGTGTATGCGTGCGTGTGTGGTGTGTGTGTGTATGTGCGTATCAGGTAAAATATTGAGAATAAAATACCTAAAACGTTTCGTTACATTTATCGTGCATCGGCATATGCGCAACCGTGTGTGTGTGTGTGTGTGTGTGTGTGTGTGTGTGTGTGTGTGTGTGTGTGTGTGTGTGTGTGTGTGTGTGTGTGTGTGTGTGTGTGTGGTGTGTGTGTGTGTGTGTGTGGTGTGTGTGTATGTGTGTGTGTGGTGTGTGTGTGTGTGTGTGCGTGTGTGTGTGTGTATGTGGTGTGTGTGGTGAGTGTGTGTATGTGGTGTGTGTGTGTGCGTGTGTGTGTGTGTTCGTGTGTTCGTACGCGCGTGTATGCTTGCGTGTGTATACAGTATATTCTCGGATACAAATAGCATGAAATATCCCCATATGGAAGACTCCTCAAGGACGTTCTGTTCCGCCAAGAAAAATAACGGACCGTGTCTCTTGAAACCGATGCATAGTGGTTCAAGGTTAATAGCAAAATGAATGTGCTAAACTGATGTATATGAATGTTACACTGGCGGATCCTTCCCGTCTAGGATTTGTGCGCATTTGTTGGGTATAAAATCAATATTTTGCAGCACCAGGATCGCTGGAGGGATCCTTGCCAGGCACTTCGAAAACTAAAATGGCAGAAATACTCCACTGAATTTCTTTTGGGTTTAGGGTTTAGGAGTCTTTGCAGTACACAGAGTGCTCACTTTTTTTTCATTTTGAAGATCGCCATTTCATTTTGTGCCATTACCATCATCATCATCAACATCAATCATCATCATCATCAATCATCATCATCATCATCATCATCATCATCAATCATCATCATCATCATCATCATCATCATCATCATCATCATCATCATCATCATCATCAGTCCTCTATAGATTATTCCTGCCTCCTTCCAGTTCGGTAGCTGTCCATTTTCGAAGAAAACTGCTGGCCCACCGATTCCAATGAAGCAAGAGTGATTTCTCTTTATAAAAAGCAGTCAAAAACAATTCCACACAATTACCGGCCCACCTCCCTTCTGTCATGCATCAAGGAATTTGAAAAAATAATACTGAACAGCTCATGAAATAGCTGAAAAAAGTCTTATTTCCAACAGACATTTTGGCTTTCGAAGCTCTGTATCGATTGCTGACCTTTTTATTGTTGAGTAATAATTGACAGGATGCTCTGGATGCCAGTCAAGATACTCTGGTAATCGCCCTCGACATCGCCGGCGTCTTCGACCAAGTGTGGAACGGAAGGCTCCTCGCTAAACTACAAGCAAGAGGCATATGCACTAACTTCTTGTAGTTGTGATAATTACTTCCGTAGAACATTGCCAGTAGTCATCCACAGTCTGTCATCCCAGAAGTCTCCAGGTGAGTCATTAGTACCACAAGGATCTGAGCTTAGCCCAGTCATATCTACAATGATGATTTAGGAGACATCCTGAAATCTCAGTGTATGCTAATGACTGTACCTTTTCAATGTTATACCAGCATGTGGATCATGGCGCTGTAGGCTTGAATATGAATTCAATATTACAAGCAATCTACGACTGGGGATCACAATGGCAAGTAAGATTTGCCACCAGCAAGACCCAAGCGCTCTCCAGCTTGCATCAGACGTCATGGACAAGCTCTAATGAATAACATCGCCATTCTACAAGAGGACTTAATCTCAGTCCTCGGTGTGGATATAGGATCTGCTAAACAGTTTCTCTGACGGCTACAGCTCTCCAAAATACATAAAACCTCCTGTATCCTCTGGGAATTCTCACTCAGTACAAGTCCCAGATAAGAACACACCTGCTGGAGTAAATTTCGCTAGCCTGGTCTTCTGTTGCGCTCACCAGTCTAAACAGGCAGGACAAAATAGAAAAAAACGGACTTTCAAGCTTATCCAAAACGAAACCGGTATGGCACATCGATTCTTAGGAACATCGTCGCGACGGCTGGGCTCTAACAGTGCAGCAGGGGCCTCATCTCTCCAGCCTACGTCTACAACCGCACGGCAGAGAGAGAAGTACAAGGACGGTACACTCTAAACGACTCCTGGTAGAAGTTATGAGGTCTAGAGTGGCGCGACTGTAGAATGTATTCGCATCACCCACCGACGTCGCCGAAATAACCACGCAATGAGCAAACCGCCATCTATTTAATCTCCTATATATTCATGGCGAAACATTAAACACTGTACATAATCTTATTATGCATTAATACTATTTTGTTATGTGTTAGTTTAATAAATCAATCTATAAGAGAGAGAGACAGAGACTTTTTTTTTACTTTGACAAGTTTATTGAGAGAGAATCTTTAACTCCTGCAGCATTCTTGGAGCCATTGTTAATAGGGCTGGACCCCCCAATTTTCCTCCCTCCCTCCCTCCCTCTCCTCTCCCACTCCCACTCCACTCCTCTCCCTCTCCCTCTCTCTCTCGCTCTCACTCTTACTCTTTACTCTTACTCTTACTCTTACTCTTACACTCACTCTCTCTCTCATACTCTCTCGGTCTCTCTCTCATGCATGGACCTACACATGCATACAATCATGCATGCTTATATTTCATTATTCATAGGTACTACTAAAAGGTATACAAGAGATTACGGTTTATTCTTATACTTTCCTTCTCTATACAATTATTTTAATGAATGATAAAATAAAATAACAGTTTACACAATGGGAATAGAATTACATGAATGTTTTACTCATATTTGTTATATCAAGCTACAATAGATTTGAAATTATGGTTACCGGGGATTGCGAGTCACTTCTTCATTCTAAATTTAAGTTGAAGAGAGGAGAGGAAGGAGAGAGAGAGAGAGAGAGAGAGAGAGAGAGAGAGAGAGAGAGAGAGAGAGAGAGGATGAGGAGAGAGTGAGAGAGAGGAGAGACGAGAGAGAGAGAGAGAGAGACAGAGGACAGAGACAGAGACAGAGACAAGACAGAGAAGAGACAAGACGAGACAGAGACAGAGACAGAGACAGAGACAGAGACGACAGAGACAGAACACAGAACACGAGACACAGAGACACAGAGACACAAGACACAGAGACACAG